AGATTGTTAATATATTAGAATATAATGTGACAATACTAAGCTTATTCGCTATTTTTAAAATGTCTAAGCTGCTATATCTTGAGTATTCAGAACAGATTGCCCATTAAACCTAATAGGAGTAAATATCCATTTCAAAAGTTGTATGTCAAAACCCTTCTGCCAGTTCAGTTGAAAATTCCTAACCATCTGTCCTGCTCAGGCAGTGGTAATAGTACTTTCCATGGTATGTCTGTTTATCTTTAAAGTAAATACTTATCTGTACCTCTTTATCAGAACTTTTCATGGAAAGAAAAAATGACAAAACTGAGGCTGTTTTGGGCCCATCATGAGAAACCCATGACTCACTGAAGAAGACAGTCCATTCCATATAGGTGGCCACAGCCTTGAGTTTACAAGAACTGAGCAGGGATGTTAAGAACAGATAATTGTGGACACCACACATTCATAGGGTTTCTGAAGACAACTAGATACTTGAAACAACATACTTGAAGTATGCAAAGGGTTGCATTAGTTTGTGTTCTGTGGAACTAAATTTCAGTTATGTAGACGTTTAAGGTATTAATCATCTTTGCAATGTGCAAAAGATGATACTAACATGTCTTAAGGTGTTACAGTTGCTTAGTCTCCGGCTTTTCCTTATATGGACCCAGTTTTTGCAGTAAATGTGATTCAGTTAGCAGTTAATCAGGCAGGCTTTTCAAGTTACCATTTTGAAGTATATTCTTCAGTTGACACTGTACTAGGTTCGTTTGGACACTTGTTTAATACATCCTATGCCTGACCCTTCCTCTTCTAGATTTAAAAATAGTAGCTTCTCTTTCCAGCATTTCTTTTTATTGTGTAATCTCCTTATTTTCACACAGTTTCTTTCTTATTAAGTGTTAACCTTTCAGCTTGTTTGTATAACTAGAGAAAAAGGTGGAAGTATAACTATTATTTTTTCAGGTCTGGAAAGGTATTTAATTCTTATCAGAAAGAAACATTTTGGGAGTACAATAGATAACCTGTTGGGTTCTGTATAAGGTAGCATATTGGCTGCAGGAAAGTTACCTTATTTAGCAAGATTACACCAGTTTTACATGACTGTAATCTAAAGCATGGTATTACTGGCCTGGTGGGAAGCAGCTTCAAAAGTTGCCAGGCAACCTAAACTTGTATGATCTCTCACCCTCACTCCATGCTTTTCAATTACTGTGTCTAGGAAAAACTGATTCTGAGCAAAGTTAAAAGTATTTATTTGGTATTGTATTACTTCTAGTAATCAGGATCGTAAAAAACTCACCTGTTTTATAAATATGCAACAGTAAAGATAAAGAGAGCTTATCCTTCCAGGACTGATGTTAACTTTGGATTTTTTTGTGGATGAATGCCTATAAGTATTTAGGACCTGTGCATTCATTCCAGATTCTACTGCTGGGTTGTACAAAGCTATACACATTAATTCTGATATTCATATACTTTTATATTTGAATGAAGTAATTAGGTATCCCATTGCATTTTCAGAAGTGTAGTTTAATTTCATTAAACTACTATAGGCCAATTAGCAAAGTACTACAAACATAAGAAAATTATAAAGTGTGTGCTTCTGTGGCAGATATACAGGCAAATAATCTTGTTTAGTAGGGTAAGACACAACTAAGCAACTGTATTTAATTTAAGAACATTTAACAAGTCCAGCCAGTAATTTTAAAAGTGACATTTTATTCACTTTTTAAAATAATTTCTGTTATTAAATATATTTTTGTTGGTTTTTAAAGGTTGTCTCTAGTGATAGTTGCAATCCCATGCTTGTTTTATAGAAACAAAGATATTAAGTTTCTTGTAGGTAGAGAGGGTTTAAAGCAGTTTGGTTTTTTAAAAACAAACAAAATGGTTCTCAGAAAAAAAGGGGGGAATTGTTTGTTTTAGTTTTTCCTGTTTCTTTTCAGGCCTTTGCTTCCCTAGAAGGAAGTGAGAAAAGCAAGCCTTCCCTGCCTCTAGACAGTATGGTTGACTACCAGTCAATGTATAAATCCTAATGAACAACTTAGTCTAGGACATGAGGGCAAATAATTTGTGGCATTCTTGGTGTTGTAAGAGCAAGGACAACAAATAAGATATTTGAGGCAAGCTAGTTTATAGCAAAAGGAACATGGCAGAACAGCATCTGTCATTATTGAAGGGTCGTTTTCTGTTAAATGGCATTCTGTAGTGGGTTATATGTTAGTTAGAAGTATAGACTTGCCAAAATTGCCTTTTAAAGCTTCCTAAGTATCTCTAGGCTGACATAATTGCTTACAAAGAAGACAACTGGGAAATAATGTTAAAAATAAGTTGTATAAAAATTGTATGGATTGCTCTGGAGAACTTGTCAGGGAAAGTTGTCCTGATTGGAAAGTTGTCTGAGTAGGTGTCTTCATGAGATGCCGGGGAGCTTGCAGAAGACATCAGCCAAGAGGAAGAGTGGCTGCATGACCAGGAAAGCATGTGGGTTAGAAGATCAGAGGGAGGAGAAAGACTCCAGAGGAAAGAGCTGAAGCCTGAGTGTCAGTAGATGGTAATGGTTTGAAGACTGAGCAGCTGCTGGCTCAGACTGAAGACTTAAGGTGAACCGCATTGGAAGTTCCAGGGTGGAAGTCAAACTTTAGCAGAAAGAAGACTACAATTCAAGCCTTAATTGTTAGGCCTGTGAATTTACTGGGGTAGAGCTAGATAGGAGAATTGGCTTAAGTTTGGTTAGGAGTAGGAACTGGAGCTTCTAAAACCTGATTGGTGGTAGAACTAGCTGTATAGAAAGCCTGTTTGAAAGTAGTAACAACAGTCTTAAATTGGTATGCTTTCTTGTTTTTTTTTAATAAAATGGTAAACATCTTTTTTCTCCTTTTCTGGTACCTCTAATCTGTCTCATTAATCTGCCTAATGACCTTTAGGGGGAAAGGAATATGTTCAATAAATGGAGTGTAGTCTAACGGCTGGACAGTGAAGAAAACTGACAGGATGCAAGTGATGCATTTGAAACGTGGTGGTGGACAGCTTTGCAAATACTTTGGACTTAGAGATAAACAAGTGGCTCCTAGATCCAATCAACCAGAACTTGCCCTGGAAGCAGAAATGATGAAATTGAGGTTGTCTTACTTCAAGCATATCATGAAAAGGCAAGTCTTACTAGAGAAGACAATAATGCTAGGGAAAGTTAAAGGCAAGAAGAGAAGGAAGACCCAACATGAGATGGGTCAATCTCATAATAGAGATGACAGCCTTGAGTTTAATAGAGCTGTGCAAGGTTGGCAAGGACAAGACACTTGAGGACATTCATTCACAGGGTCACCATAAGTCAGAGGTGACTTGATGGCATGAAACAACATGGAGATGAAAGGGGCAGTCATAGTAAAGAGAAAGGATTACCCAATGCTGAATGGTGATCCACCAAATGTTGGGGATGGGATGTTTTGCACTCATGTACTGGCCCCCATCCTGAGACCAGATTTTCCACAGGAGCAAAAATTGTGTATGCTAGTTAAAGGGTTATAGGCAGATAACCTTAGTTGTTTTTTACTCTTACTTTCATGGACCAGATTTTCCATCACTCTCATTTGCTTTTATTATTGCTTTGCTGCTACTTTGTATTATGTATGCCAAATTGAGGGGTTTGTACTCCTAAGTGCAGCCTAAAAATAAATGTAAAAAAATAAATAAATACAGTAGTCTGGCAAACAGTAATGGGATAATTATTTTTGTGCATGTCAGTAATTTGGTAAATGACTTGAGAAATTGTGCTTGGCATCAGTACAGTAATTGGTAACAAGCAAGTCCATTGACATGTAATGTCAAATTGCAGGTTAATTAAGCCATAGTTTTCCAGGTCAGTTGCCTGCTGCATGCTACTGCTGTTCTGCATACTCAACCTCTGATGACCCAATCAGAGGTTGTTTCATGACATGCAAACCCACAGACTCTAGTTTATTCACTTATCAAAAGTTAACTGCAGGTTAATTCACAAATTTGTGATGTGAATAGTTACTTGTAAAGCTAAGAAGTATTGATTATGTGCCACTGAATGCATAAAGGGCAAATTTTATTAGGGAATCCTCTAAACTCTCTTCCAATCTGCAGCTTCCAAATACCATAATAATGAAATATGTGAAAGATACAGATGTGTCTTATTACTGACAACATGCCATCTGCCAGTGCTCCAGATTCCACTTACACTGTATCTACATCTCTTCTAAATATTGGCTTGCCAAATGGATCCGATTCAAGGGGGCTGCAGTAGGAAGGAGAATAGTCATATCATATAGAATTTCTCTCCATTTCCTTTGCCCTTGTTTTGCTTCCCTCAAATGAACATTATAAGCTTTTCTGGTCAGGAATCTGTATTTTGTTCTTGTTAAATTGGTGGTGGCATCATATTAATATTTTAACTGGTTACTAGAAATAGCTGCTTACTAATTAGCAAGTTGTATAAGAATGAATACCTGAAGTGTATCAGATGACTAACTGAAAAAAAAAAAAAAGATGTGCTTTTCTAGTCTCTTTATAAAGTTACTGGAATATATTTATTCATTTGGACATTCATTAAATACTGTTAATGATTTTAAACTTTACTATGTTGTTGGCTTATTATAATGTCTATATTCATTAATATAAAGAGGACAAGGCATTATCCCTCCATCTCCATTTTATCCTTCCAACAACCTTATGAGTAGGTTAAGTTGAGAGTCAGCGACTTACCCAAAGTCACCTAGTGAGCTTCATGGCCAAGTGGGATTGGAACTCATAGCTGCTGAATTCAGTTCAAAACTGTAACCACTGCAGTTTCAGCTGTGCATTCAAAATCTCGTTTTAGTTTTTACCAATTCACACTTCTTAAATAAGCCTGACTTTTTTCTGTTATTTATTAGAAAACCTGAATAACAGAAACCCTTGAATCAGGTAGAGATATTTGGGAGTTTTAATACCCACTTTCAAAAATGGAGGGGAAAGTTGCTTTCTGTTCACATGTTGTTGTTTTTTAATTGCAGGCAATGGTGGCTTGTTATCCAGGCAATGGAACAGGATATGTGCGCCATGTTGATAATCCGAATGGAGATGGAAGATGTGTCACATGTATATATTATCTTAATAAAGACTGGGATGCCAAGGTAACCTATTTCAGAAAGGCTTTTCATGCATGAATACGTAGCCATTGGTTTTCGAGTTAATTTGATAATAGCTTGAATAATATTATGCTTAGTTACCTAATGATAATGTGTTTAATCTCTCTCATACCTCTTTCACATATTCAGGGGCAGCAACCAATTATTGTTTTACAGGGCACCTCATCTAGTATTTGGAGATGCCTTTTCACACTGTAGTGAGAATTTAGTCACATTTCTCCAACTCTGCAGAAAAAAATGTCCAAAATCCCTGTAGACATGATTAAGCCTTCAGATGCACCTCCAGTATATTTTTGAGTTTCTGCTAGTGTTTTTATTGTAAATAGCCACGTATCTGTGGTCCTAGGTAATTTGCATAGTAGTTCATATGTAAATATAAAAATAGCTTTGGTATTATAACTAGAAAATTCAGTCATGTGACAGAATTCTAACTGTAATAACAATACAAATAATATAAGGAAGAGTATATGATTGCTTGCAATTAATTGCAAGCCAGGGGAAGTTTGGGTGAACAAATGTGTTACAGGACATGTTTGAAACATAACTTCTTTTTCATGGTCTCTGTGCATCACACATGAACTCTGCACTGGCACAGAGCCTCCATCAGGAAGCTTCTGTCACTAAGAAATTTTGCAAGAATCCTACCCCAGTGCTTGATGCTCAAGATCCTTCAGATTCTTGACCATACCCTCAGGTTCAGGACAGGCTTTTTTTCAACTGTCATGATGGTAGTCTTCAGGAAGCTGTTGTCTACTGGACTGTGATGATTGGCTAAGATTCTTTGAAAACACCCCTCACATCTTTCTTTTTCTTATTTTTTCAATATTCTGCCACAACCAGTCCCGGATATATTGCTGCAAATGTCAGGTCTTCAGCCACAACCCATCCAGTCAACTACTTTCCCATCTGCTGAACTGAAATATTATCCAATAGATTTAGCATCTTGTTCATCAGCCACCATGTCTGCATCATCCTTCAACTTGGTGATGGAAGACCTTAGAAAATGGCTCAGTAGCTAATAGGCCAACAGTGCAATTTTTTTAGCGTTGGTCTTGTGTGGGCATAGCTTGGTGTCCTAGTGGGCACTCTAGCTGCTGCATTTGGCACATAGAACATATAATAGTTTAAATGTGAGGCTTCCAATGCATGAGTCGCCATGGCTGGATTATCTAGTGTATACTTAGCATACCAACCAAAGCTGGTGATTCTGGATCCAGTGACAAAAATGACTCCAAAACCTTTCCAAAACTATGTACATGTTCCTTCAGAGGGTGTGCAACCTCATCCAGAGCAGGCAAACAGCCCAGTAGTCAGATGTGGGGTTTCCCAAACTATAGGATCTCTGTTTTATCAGGATTGTGTCAGTTTATTAGCCCTCTTCCATAACTGCATCCAAACACTGGTTCAAAACAAGCACAGTCTCTCCCAATTCAGATCTCATAAAGAAATAGAGCTGGTGTTATTTGCATACTGATAACAATTTGCCTCAGAGCTCCTGATGAATGTTCCCAATAGATATTAAATAGCTTTGTGAACAAGATGGTACCCTGCAGCCCCCCACAATTCAGCTGCCATGGGGCTTAGGTGTTGTCACTACTGCTATTCTCTGGAAGTGACCCTGCAAGTACAAGTCAAGTTGATGTAATACAATGCCTATAATTCCCATTTCACAGAAGTCCATGCAGATGCTTTGGTCAACAGTACAAAAGTCACAGAAAGATCCAGAAGTTAATAACAAGCTCATACTCTCTTTGACTCTTGCCCAAAGAAAGTCATCCATTTAAATGACTGAGGTCAGGCCTGTCTCAAAACTGTCTGAACCCTGACAAGAATGGATCCAAATAACCAATTTCATTCAAGAACATTTGTAGTTGAGATGCTGCCATGCTCTCAGAAACTTTACCGAGAAACACAGGTATCTTATCTATTGATCAGTCTAAGGCTAGAGCACCCACTGGCTCTCTGTGCGGTTTACAAAAGAACTGAGAACCTTGTTATCTGTAGACCGCAGTTCTCTGGATCAAAGGAGGGTTTTTCAGGAGTGATCACACCACTGCCTCCTTCACACCAGCACACAGTAATGCATTCATCCAGTCTATTCCCCCGCAGCTGGGGCAAGGGAGTATGTGGTAGGTTGTACAGATGCAAGTGTCTTATCCACAATGTTATACTGTGTAGAAATTTTATTGGAATACTTGAAAAAAAAAGGCAACAGCATGTACTTTACCTACAGTGTTGGTTTAAATTTATTTCACTTGTTTAAAAGTTCTGATAACTGTTACTTCACTAATATATTTGAACAATTTGAGAATTACACATGATAGGCTAGGAACCACTCAGCTACAATTTTGAACCACCAAGCTTGCATAGAATCATAGAACAGTAGAGTTGGAAGGGGCCATGAAGGCCATCGGGTCCAACCCCCTGGTGTTGCAGGACACCAAGTTATACCATCCCACTCAGATGGCTGTCCAGTTTCATCTTGAAAGTCTCTAGTGTGGGAGAGCCCACCACCTCTCTAGGCAGCTGTTCCACTGTCAAATTGCTTTGATGGTGAGGAAGCTTTTCCTGATGTCCAGCCTGAATCTGGGTTGTCCCAACTTGATTATTCTGTGTCCTACACTCAGGCATCAGCAAGAAGAGATCTTGCCTTTGACATACTTTTAAAAGGATAATAAGTGCTTACAGCAGACAGCTATTCATGATTCCTTTCCTTTTGCATGTTTTAATTTTAACAAAAGGGGGGAAATATAATACAGCTAAGATACAAAACAATTTAAAAAACATAATGTAACAAAACTGTGCATCCCACCACCAGGACCTTTAGATACACATCTATTCATTTATTCTTTTAAGATTTGTCCTCCTTCCAAAATGTCAGTGACTCTTTGTTGTTGTTGTTGTTAGTCGCAAAGTCGTGTCCTACCTATCACGACCCCATGGACACCATTCCTCCAGGCCTTCCTGTCCTCCACCATCGCCCGGAGTCCACTTAAGCTCACATCAACTGCTTCAGTGACTCCATCTAGCCACCTCATCCTCTGCCGTCCCCTTCTTTTGCCATCTATTGTTCCCAGCAATTAGACTCTTCTCCAGGGAGTCCTTCTCATTAGGTGGCCAAAGTATTCGAGTTTCATCTTCAGGATCTGGCCTTCTAAAGAGCAGCCAGGGTTGATCTCCTCTAGGACTGACCGGTTTGATCACCTTGTGGTCCAAGGGACTTGCAGGAGTCTCCTCCAGCACCACAATTAAAAGGCCTCAATCCTTTGACACTCAGCCTTCCTTATGGTCCAGCTTTCACAGGCATACATTGCAACTGGGAAAACCATAGCCTTAACTATATGCACTTTTGTTGGCAGGGTGATGTCTCTGCTTTTTAGTATGCTGTCTAGATTTGCCATAGCTTTCCTCCCCAGGAGCAAGCGTCTTTTAATTTCTTGGCTGCAGTCCCCATCTGCGGTGATCTTGGAGCCCAGGAAAATAAAATCTGTCACTGCCTCCATTTCTTCCCCATCTATCTGCAAGGAAGTGAGAGGACCGAATGCCATGATCTTAGTTTTCTTAATGTTGAGTTTCAAGCCAACTTTTGCACTCTCCTCCTTCACCCGCATCAAGAGGCTCCTTAGTTCCTCTTCACTTTCTGCCATGAGAGTGGTATTATCTGCATATCTGAGGTTGTTGATATTTCTCCCAGGAATCTTAATTCCAACTGGTGATTCATCTAGCTCCGCCTTTCTCATGATATGCTCTGCATATAAGTTAAATAGTCAGGGCGACAGTATACAGCCTTGCCAAACTCTTTTCAATTTTGAACCAATCAGTGGTTTAGTGTCCAATTCTCACTGTTGCTTCTTGACCCACATATAGTTTTCTCAAGAGACAAATAAGATGGTCTGGTACTCCCATCTCTTTAAGAACTTGCCACAATTTGTTGTGATCCACATAGTCAAAGGCTTTAGCATAGTCAATGAAGCGGAAGTAGATGTTTTTCTGGAACTCCCTAGCCTTCTCCATGGTCCAGTGTATGTTGGCAATTTGATCTCTAGTTCCTCTCCCTCTTCAAAATCCTGCCTGTACTTCTGGTGGTTCTCAGCCCACATACTGCTGGAGCCTAGCTTGTAGGATTTTGAGCATAACTTTGCTGGCATGTGAAATGAGTGCAATGGTGTGGTAGTTTGAACATTCTTTGGCATTGGCCTTCTTTGGGATCGGAATGTAAACTGACCTTTTCCAATCCTGTGGCCACTGTTGAGTTCTCCAAATTTGCTGGCATATTGAGTGTAGAACTTTTACTGCGTCGTCTTTTAAGATTTTGAATAGCTCAGCTGGAATACTGTCACCTCCACTAGCTTTGTTGTTGCTCAGACTTCCTAAGGCCCATTTGACTTCACATTCCAGGATTTCTGGCTTGAGGTCAGTGACCACCCCATCGTGGTTATCAGGGACGTTAAGCTCTTTCTTGTATAGTTCTTCTGTGTAATCTTGCCACCTCTTCTTAATCTCTTCTGCCTCTGTTAGTTCCCTGCCATTTTGGTCCTTTATCATGCCCATCTTTGCATGAAATGTTCCCTTCATATCTCCAATTTTCTTGAAGAGATCTCTGGTCCTCCCTATTCTATTGTTTTCTTCTATTTCTTTGCACTGTTCATTTAAGAAGGCATTCTTATCTCTTCTAGCTATTCTCTGGGATTCTGCATTCAATTGGGTGTATCTTTCTCCTTCTCCCTTGCCTTTTGCTTCCCTTCTTTCCTCAGCTTCCTCAGACAGCCATTTTGCTTTCTTGCATTTCTTTTTCTTTGGGATGGTTTTAGTTGCTACCTCTTGTACAATGTTGCGAACCTCCGTCCATAGTTCTTCAGGCACTCTGTCTGTCAGATCTAATTCCTTAAATCTGTTTGTCACCTCTACTGTATATTCATCAGGGATATGATTTAGGTCATACCTGAGTGGCCTAGTGCTTTTCCCTACTTTCTTCACTTTAAGCCTAGATTTTGCAATGAGAAGCTCATGATCTGAGCCACAGTCAGCTCCTGGTTTAGTTTTTACTGACTATATTGAGCTTCTCCATCTTTGGCTGCAGAGCACATAGTCAATCTGATTTCTGTGTTGACCATCTGGTGATGTCCATGTGTAGAGTTGTCTCTTGGGTTGTTGGAAAAGAGTGTTTCCTATGACCATCGTATTCTCTTGACAAAATTCTGCCAGCCTGTGCCCTGCTTCATTTTGTACTCCAAGGCCAAACTTGCCTGTTATCCGGTTATCTTTTGGCTTCCTACTTTAGCATTCCAATCCCCCATGATGATAAGGACATCATTTTTTGGTGTTAATTCTAGAAGGTGTTGTAGGCCCTCATAGAACCGGTCAACTTCAGGCTCTTCAGCACCAGTGGTTGGGGCATAGACTTGGACTCCTGTGATGTTGGACAGTGACTCTTAAGGAGGTTCAAATCTTTTTCCTTTTATTTGTACACATTCAATAAATGGACCCCAGATATCCTCAAAATTATTCCTATTTATAAAGCCTTGTTTCTGTTGACTACAATAAGTTAATTTATCATTAATGGCTATATTTCTAACTTCTCTGTACCAGTCGCTCAACTGATAATCATATTTTACTTTCCACTTCTTTGCTACCATTAATCTTGCAGCTGTAAATAAATCTGTTATTCTTTAATATTCCATCTCTACTGTTCTCTGTCAAATATTGACAATAGTGCAATTTTGAGATTTACTTCAATATTTACTGATTTCCTTAAAAACCTATCCACAATTTTATTATACATCCAGTGATTCCTAATGAATGTACAAAATAAAATCCATGAAAGACTAAAGCATTGGAGGAAAAATTCAATGTGAAAAACATGAAAAATATTCTCTACCACATTACTAGTACACTGTTAGTGTGGCAGTCCTGATTACTCATAGATCATGTTTAATCTTAAGGAGTTACTGGGGGTATTAGGGAAAGTATAGAAATTGATCACCCTAATGATGGGTAATCTTCCAGATAGAAGTGCAAACTAAAGTACTATATTTATTGTTCTTTGGATTACTCTGGGAAGAAGAGCCTACTGGTTGCTTTTTAATTATGCTAGAAGTTTTTGGATTTAAGGGAATCTCTTTGTGGGTACTGTTAATACTTTGAAACTGCTGATAACATGCTATGGATGGGAAGCTCTGTTGTGGTTGTTTAAAGATAAGCTGATGTGTTGTTGTTTTTTTTTAAGGTAAGTGGAGGTATTCTTCGAATATTTCCAGAAGGCAAAGCCCAGTTTGCTGACATTGAACCTAAATTCGATAGACTGCTGTTTTTCTGGTCTGACCGCCGCAACCCTCATGAAGTGCAGCCTGCATTTGCTACGAGGTAATCTGAATGGATCTATGCATGTGGACTTTAAATTTACACAAAGGTCAGGATGGAACAAGAAACTTACAAAGATATTACTTAGATAGCTGTCAGAAATATATTGATCACTCTCTGGAAAGTAACCAGTGGTCAAGGCTTCAGGGATTAAATTAAGTATTTAGAATGTATAGCTGGTAATTTTCTAATCTTGAGCATTTCACTTGGGTTGACTAGAGGCAGACTGTGTTTCCATTACTTGTGGAAACCAAAGCCAAAGTTTATTATGACTCAAGAGCTGTAGTGCAGGAGTCCCAAACACAAAGTCCATGGAAGCCATGGCTTCTTCAGAAAGGTTTCCAATGTGTTGCCAGCTCTAGTGGCCCTGTGGAAGGGTCCCAACAAGACTTTAATTATATGTCCTTTTTTACTATACGTACATGAGTTTGGATATATCCATAGCAATGGATACATATGCAATGCAAACAGCTTTCTAGACACTTCAATAAAAGTGGGCCAAATATCAAATAGATAGTGCCTATATGCACCCTGTTCATCTAACAAGAACATTGTAAGGTCCTTGTCCATTACAATATTTGGTATTATAACGTCAGTCTTTTAGTTGTCAAAAGGGTATAGAAAATCAATTTATGCTAATAATTTATTTCCATGAAGCAGGTCAATAAGTTAAAAGAGGATGTATATCAGTGAATATTAGAAACTATTTCACTACAATTTTTTCTGTATAAAATCTGATCCCAAAAAATAAATAACTACTGGACATTACCAAGGCATATGTTTAATAGAAGTGTATTGCAACACCAGAAATTAGCTGAATTAGACAATCCCTTATAAAAGAGGTGTTGCAAGATCCACACTTTTTGCTAAATAAGACATATGACAGGTTAACACCAAAGCAGTGATCAAGTGGTTAAGCATTTTGTGGTGGTGCTCGCAGCAATTTCTCAAATTCACAAATGTTTTCATGGATTCCAAAACCTTGGAGGCCCTACTATTCTAGGTTTATTAAATACGAAAAAATGTTTATATTGCATGTAGTGTTGTAAATTGGCTTTTTCTCTAGGATTGTTGAACTGCAGTAAGTACATTTAGTTTTTGTCCCATGTCAAACATTTTAATTTAAAAGCTGTTTAAAGTAGATACAGGTGAGGGGGTTAATCAGTTAGGCCAAAGATTAATATGGAAATGTTAACATATGTATACAGTTACTGTGTCCATAAATTTGAAAGAAATACCTGAAATGGTAGGATACCACCTACAAGATAATGAGTGCATGTTTGCTTCCAACATCATGCAGAAAAAGGTGGAGGGGTGCTAGAAGTAGAAGGCAAAATTTCTTGTATGTCTCTTAATAAATCAGAGCATACACACTTATGATAATAAAAGAAAGATTTTCAATACATTTATCACTATGACAGACTAGACTTGTGTCTTTTTTTCTGACTGATTGCCATTTCATATTGGCAGCTCAGTTTGTTGGGCACTGAACAATGTTAACTTTTGAAACCTGACAGTGTTCTCTTTAAGTAAAGGAGCGTTAGTGCCATCTGCTTTGGTGATACATGTGTACATAAAATAGTGACAAAATGTGCTCTGTCTTCAGTGTGCTCAGGCCTGTTGACTTGCTTTCCATAGGCTGGAGCACACTTGCATGCTGTGTCATGTATAGATGCTCCCAGTTATGACTTCTCTTAAAGCCACCTTCATCTCCCATTCTTATTTGGGGTTCAGCCTTATCTTACCTAAAATGGCAAATACCCCTCTGTGTGCTCCTAGTCAGTAAAATCAAGAATGAAACCTTCATTTGCTACTTCATGAGCAGACCCCATGCCATCTTTATTGAGATGATGCAGTGCCGCTGATGCTTTGTGTGTACACGTATGCTCACACCCCTTGACTGCCTTCCTCTTGCCAGTACCACACCACAGGCAGGGGATTTCTGCATTCTTCAGTGTACCTTTTCCCACATATACAGAAACCTATAATTAGTTCTTAGTTTAATTCTGGGTTCTTCTACCCATAAATAACCCAGAGTGCCTGGGTGCAGATGTCATAAAAGCAGTCTTCACAGAAGCAGTGTTGTGCTGCAAAATGAAAGCAGAAGTGAGGAATATGCTCGAGGCAGTGTGCTTGTTTTTCCTTCCTTGAGCCTACAGTTAATTAACACTGGCTCCAAGTCTGGATCCAACCCAGAGACTCTTGTGTTAGTGAGAGGAATTCTAGTTTCCTTCTTTAACCTGGACAGTTTTGTGTGCAGGCTTTGTTAGTCATCATAACAACATCAAACAAGGGACAGGGAGCAGTGACATATCATGGAATGTCTCCTTGTCGTGTCTGTAGGCATCATTATCAAATAAGGAGCATGAACCATAAGTACCACATTCAGAAAAGAAGCATTACAAAAGCTGCCTGGTAGACCTAGTATAATGCTTTGTCAAGTAAAACTTGAAGAAATAATCTCAGTACTGTAAAGCTATTTTTAATTTAATATGTTCCTGCTTCAACTTTTTCATTCTTTTAAAGGTACGCAATAACAGTGTGGTATTTTGATGCAGATGAAAGAGCCCGCGCTAAAGTAAAGTACTTAACAGGTAACTGGTTTACTGTTTTCAGTGTCTGTCTTTCTATATTTTACTATGCATAGTTAAATAGCTAAATGACAATACCACCATCAGAGTTCACAGGCATTAACAGCTGTATTTCATAAGTGCATCTGGATAGAACATGCACTGAATACTGAAATGAATGCATTTTGGATGCCTTAGTTTCTTATACATTAAGTTTTCATTAATTTCTTAATTTCATTTATTAAAATGAAAATGCAAATCCACTAACACTCTGCTTTAACAAAGTAGTGCAAGTCTGTGCAAAAGCAGGTTTGTTAGACTCTCCAAAAGTTAAAAGAAATAAATGGTTAAATTTGGATAGATTTCCCGGAAGGTGGAAAAAAGCTCTGTTAATTTTCTGCAAGTCTCTTAGATGAAAAAAAGAGTAACAGCTGTGCAAATCTTTCTGAAGTTTTGAACAAACTGAAGGTGAACATTTTTTTAACAAAAAGCCTAAACCTCAGTAACAAGTGCAAATGCACTTATTAGTAGAGTAACAGAATGTATGCTGAGGTTGTGCTGCAAAGGTCAATAGGGATATGTGCTGAGAGTATGCGAGAGAATTATGGAAGAAACAGGCTGTAGCTAGCTGAATAGTACCTGCATATCTGTGAGGGGACTAGCAGTTGTACTGCCAAGCAGTATAGCTTATTTTCTGGATAATTTACCATGACATACAGACCAACCTTTAGACTAAGTTCACATGATCACAGAGGAGAAATCAGCCACAGACTGGGAGGATTCACTTACCTTTGTTGACATGCTTTTTATCATGGCATTGCTATCACGGTGGCTGTTGTAGGGTTCTGGGTGGCTTGTTACCAATGGCAACAAATCATCCTGGGTGGTGTTTTGCACAACAAGCTACTTTTCTGAGAGTAATTGTGCCAATCCACCTCCTCCCCAGCATGCAACTGAAATCTGTGAAAGAAAAAATAAGCCACAGCAGAAGGTAACCCACTCCATATGATCTTGCAAACAGGTCCTTAATGTGTTTAATCTGAATTGAAGCTAGCATTGTATGCTGAAGCTTTGTAAAAGCTTTGTACAACATGTAAAAGTTCAGTAGCAAAAAGAAAAATAAATTCGAGAACATGTATTAGTGTAAACATCCCTGTCTATTATCACTCCCCCCCCTTTTTTTTGCAGGTGAAAAAGGTGTGAGGGTTGAACTTAATAAACCTTCTGATTCAAATGGGAAAGACCTTTTATAAAGTCTTTGATCTAGCAATTCCTTATGCTACATCCTGGCTCTTCTCCATCCCCAAACAATCTTGGCGCTGTCTATTAACTTCTGAATGTGAATGAGACAAAAGAAAATCAACACCAAATCAACATTTGGAATAAACATATAATAGGTTTCAGTGTTGCATCAAATGGTTTTCTAACTGCTGAAGCATTATACTACATGATTGTGACTCCAGTCCTGTGACTGCTTATATGAAGATAAGCACTGAGAAGAAACAGCTTACACATAAAGTGCCCTACATAGAAGTTTTCTGTCCTTCATATTTTGGCATTTATTCAGTCATCTAGCTCAATGCTATTCATCCCCCCTTTTTAAAATGTGGTGAAAGTTTGAATTTTAAATACATTTTGTATAACCAGGTCCAACTGATTGAAATTGAGCAAAGCAAACATCTTCTAAAATAACTTTTGTCTATTTTTGTAAATCTGCTGTTCATGCTGTTACCTACGATGCAAAACCTAATTTAAATAAGAATTGCCAGTAACTGATGATCACTTTTTCTTTTCACCTAAAGTCTGAAAAGGAGCACTTTAATTACCATCTAAGAACCTGATTGTTTTTATGTTCATACACTAATTTGATTTTTTTTAAAAAAGATTGCTGCTGTACTGTGTTTCTGAAACTTTTTTAAAAACTGAAACAGATGCCTATCTTGCTGTCAGTTACTTTCTTAAACTTGTGGTTTTATATGTTGAATCCAGAGAGCAAGCATTCTGTATCTGTCTCATTGGGGTTTTCCAAGTGACTGGCTGGCACTAAGTGAACTTGATGCTATCTGTACTGTCTTTGGTGTTGAAACTGGGTGTGATCCACTGGGAGCTTCATCTGTGAAAGCAGTTTGATGGGAATGAAGATCATGCAGTAGCACAGCTGTGCTCTAGTGTAGCTCCTGCTCCTTTCGAGTGGTGCTTGTGCAGGTGAATTGCCATGTGGGCTCTGCCCATAAGTATCATCCAATCCCTAAATATAAGGGCTTTTCTGGGCTTCTAGATGTACCAACACCCCCTTCTACTACCTTGATGGGAGATCTCAGTATTGATTCATTTTTAAAAGCTTACTTTCTTCCACTGTTTGTAAGGTAATGCAACTTAAAATCAGAGATGGTTAAACCAACAGTATCCTTTCTCCTTTGCGGTTTGGCCTCTTGGTCGTCTTTATATCATGCCATGGGTGTGTTAAATTCATTAAGACTGCAGTGTATCACTACAGGCTTAACATGTAAAGGTTTTTTATATTGCTGAGAAATTTTTAGCATTGGCCTCAGATAGATGAAGTTGTTTTTGACAAGGAAAGAAACCTTTAAGGTAAAGCAATAGAGAATAAAGTTCACTCAATCAGATATTTCAAAAATGTTTGCCTTGATGAGTTGGGTTGGTGCTGAACAGTAATCCCCTGAAGGGAAGCTTTTACATTCTACCAGCCTTACAAACATGAGCCTTCCCACTTAAATGTTCCATCGTTTGTTCCTTGATTCCCTCACTTATTCAAAACAATGTGAGTGTACAGAAATATTTCTGTATGTACAACGTTGACAATTTTAGCATCTGTATAGTTTGTACTCTTATTAGAGACCTTTTCTATGGAAAGCTCAGTAATTTTTATTTAAAAAAAGCTTACTATTCATGTAAAACATGAAAAAAGGATTGTGTTTAGTGACAACTGACAGAAGGGGGGAAGTCAATATTGTTGTGGTAGTATACCGGGGAGCTTGTGACAAAAGTCTTTGGTTTTTTATTTCCCCCCCCCAAAAATGATTAGCTGTCAAAATTTCTAACAGTTTGGTTCTCTTCATCCTGGTAAATTAGAAGAAAACACATCTACAGTAAGTGCCTCTGCAAGCCTGACCAAGGAGTGTAAATCATCTTTACTGGTCTGCAGTGCAATGCACTGATTCAGACCTGAGAAACACCATTTCTAACTTTTAACTGCTTTTGTATTATGTTTAATGTGTTAGAAATGCAAAACATACGCCTTGTTTTTCCCTCTGTTTAAAGTATCAACGTCTTACATTTGTGCTTGCTGGGGAGATATAAAATGTGCTTAAATCTCTCAATTTGTTATTTACTAAAGGTCACCAAACTGGGTCTTTCTAATGTCCTTTTAGAAATTGTTCATGTCAGTTAAATCTTCAGCCCTGGGTGTCACAAAGCAGGAACCTGTTTCAGACTATTTTTGAACTGTCTTATGGCCTGTATATGTGTTTAGTCCTGGTTTAAAGATAAAGCTTCATAATGCTATTTTTATTTCTTGACATTAGCCAGCTGTAAAACACAAGACTTTTATCTAGCAGGCAAAGAAATTCAGGATTCATTTGCAGATTTCCTATAAAGTCATGTAACTTTTGAAAAACAGTGTTCATTACTGAAAGAGCTCTCAAGTTGCTTGTAAAGCTAATCTAATTAAAAGATGTATAAAGGTTCTTGAAACAATGTGGTTATTTGTAATTATGTAACATTTTTACAGCCTACTCCAGAGCAACTAATTAGTAATCTGATAAAGTGTGTGTATGTGTATCTGTTTTTAGCAGTCAGTGACACTGCAGCTGCAGTCAAGGTCTTCTGTTAGCTTCATTTATAACCCCTGTTTTTAATTATCTAGCTGTGATTGTTTTTAAAGAAGAGGCTGAGGGCAGGGTGGGGGAAGAAGATTGCCTCCTAGTAACTCAACACTACAGTTATAATCTCTAACCACATGGGAAGGGTACCTTGATGTTTCCTCTGCTGCAGACACAGCCCTTAAAATGGGGGAGGGGGGCACTTGGATGGCCATCTAGAACACATCTCTGTTGACTGAGTTCAGAACCTCAGAGGCATTATGCCATACCCATGGACCCTGCACTGGTGTCCATACAGGTGAACTGTGTAACTTGTACTCATGACATCTCACAGAAGATGATGGGAGGAGTGATTTAATAGCTACCCACAAAGCACTCTCATGTTAAGGAGGAGGCTGTCCTCTGCCGGCTGCTACTAACAGTTTTGTACTGTTTGATACAACACTTAAGTTAAATCTGGTTCTCCATAATCTTGATTTCCTCCCCTCCCCCACCCCTGATCATATTGAAACTCTTTTAGTTTGCTATGGAAAATATTAAGAATGCGCCAGCCTGCTTTTAAGTGAAGTTTTTAAAGATAAGAACAAAGCACAAATTACGTAGACTATAATTTCAAAAACCTTTCCATCTCATTTTATGTTGTGTGTTAAAATTGGAATCTGTATTTTTGGGAAGTCCTTGTTCATCCTTAGAAAAGTATAGATAATATAAATTGTAGAGCAGCAAAGATACTAAAAATTTCTAGCAGGTAAAAAATTGAGGCTGTAATCTTACACCTACCTATCTGGAATTAAGCATTGTTTGAGTTCAACATGTCTTGTGTATTGGGGAACATGTATAGGATTACTTTGTGGGTTTCCTAGCTGTCTTCCTTTCCAGTAATTATCCATGATTTAGAGTCAGATTGCCCCTGAATTAAGCACAAGGCATATCCACTCCAAGCAAATGGGGTGCTTATCCCCAGCACACTGCAGGATATTTCAAAGGCTCCCCTCAAGTCTTAGAAACAGAGTTTTCAGGGGAATATGATGGCCTATGCAATTGGAAGAAGGGCAGGAAAGCTATGTTGCACGACTTGGTTACCACAAGTAGTTCTTTGAGTCCGTTTTGCAGCACAGCATAACCCGATGCACAAATAGTGCTGCTGAGGTTTAAGAGTATACTCTAGTTAGGTGGTTCAAGGATTTCACATGGTTAAAATCCTTGGTGGAAGGAGGCATCTGAGGATTTGATGATCTCTCAGCACTCAAGAAACAGGAATCACATCAATAGTGGTATTAAGGATGCCACCGTTCTCTAGCATCCTCCTCTGCCAACCTGTAGGCCAGCAAGAAATGGGGGAGGGTCCCTGCGGCCTTCAAAGCACCGGCAGCGCCCGGGCCAGCCTCCGGGAGCGACGCGGGATGAGCGGCCCACCACCACTGCAGTGGTGGAATACTTGATGTGGCCCAGCCTCACCCAGACTGCCCCCAGGTAAGTTGAGTTTGAGACCCCGATGTAGATGCAACAGCACCCTCCTGCCCAGTAGCTGGTGTGCATAGATAAACTGCCTCTCACACTAAAAGGACCATCTAGCCATCAAGAACTAGTAGCCAGTAGAAGACATTCAAGGCTTCCCCATGAATTTGTCTAATACCTGTTTAAAACCATCCAAACTGGGGAAGTGAAGCTTGTGGAAGAGAATTCTGTAACTATACACTTGAGTGAAGAAGTGCTACCTTTCTCCCATCAGTCAGCTTCATGGAATGACCCTGAGTTCTAAAATTATAGGAGAGGGAGAAAAATTCCTCCTTGTCCACTTTCTGCCCAGCATGCATAATTGTGTACATTTCTATCATGTCTCCCCATTTTTCTTAGCTAAGCAATCTCATGTAACCTTCCTCATAAGGGAGTTGCTCCAAGCATTTCCTTTCTCTGCACCTTTTCCAGCTCCACCAGATCTCCTTTTAGGTGCAGTGACCAGAACTGTACACTATATTAAAGGAGTCACGCCACAGTTTTCTATTAAGGCTGTATCCAGGACCTCTTTATTCATTTTTCCTTTCCTATGTCCTCATTACTCAGGTGGGGAAGGATTTCTTGCTGCAACCCAGCCTGCAAAGCTGAAGAAGGCATCAGTCAGTTATGACATGTAAAACTGATCTCAAACTGTCATGCTGTGCATTTTGTCTCCACCCAGAAGTCACTCACAGTATGCAATCCGTCCCAACCTCACCCACAGAATTTCAGTCAGGGTGGCAAATTAGTACTGAGTTGTTTTTAGTGGTCTGGTGGTGCTACCCATAATTTTGTGGAGAAGTCTTGCTCTTACATTTTCTGATACTTTATATCCTTCCTCAACCTGATTTCACCAGGCTTCTGTTGCAACCATTCTATCAATGCTTTTGCTTGGCATCAAGCACTCCAGCATCTTCCAGCTTAGAAGACTCTAGCATCAACAAATACCATGGGTAGTACCCAATAGCATCATTGTGACACTGGCATTTCTATTGCACCAGATGGACCCCTTGTTAGTGCTTCCTAGACCAAGCCCAAAATTAAAGACTCATAAGCAGGATAGCTCAGTGGAGCTGTTCGCTCCCATTCCATTCCTGAAACTAGCATTTCAGCTCTTTTCCAGTTGTTTTAGGAAGCACTAACAGTGGTTCCTGGCAGCACAGGGACAGCATGTGTCCCTGTACAAATGCCTTTGAGCAGGTGCATTGTCCTCTAAGGCCCTCTGACCTCTTGGTTCAGTTGTCATGCTCTACCTGTAAGTGTGTTGCTACAGCCTACATGGATGACCTGGAATATTTACACCCTCATCCTCAGCGTTGCCTCATCCTGCCTGCTGCTTAGCTCCTTTTGCCTCAAACCCCAGCAGTCTGGTTCTGTTTGACCTCAGGTGGAGTCTGACCTGTCCAGACCTGTACAGGCTGATTGAGAGTGTTCCCCTGCACCCAACAAATCTCTCCTGACATTACTGGCTCATCCATGTGTTGCGAACCCTCAGCTCTGCCTAGCCGATGGGCCATGTGTGCGGAACACACAGCATTTCTGTGAATACTTCCTCGAAGGTCTACACAAATAGATTTTTCAATGTTTGCATATTTATTTAATATGTTCAAAGACCACTCATTAGCATCACACACTCTGGGTGGCCATTAGGATAAAAACACCAATAGGTAACATAATTAAAATACACAAGATAAAATAACATATAAATAATCAACAGCAATGAAGCTGAAGTTAGTAAATTAAAACTGGTGCCAATTCTAGTGCTGCCACGCAACATGAATGTTAATTGCTCCCTGCACTAACCATGAACTAGATGAGGCAACATGTCTACAACCTCCCCAGAAGGCAGGCAAGTCACCATGCAGGCAACATGACTATTCTTGGGGTGAGACGAATAGATGCTTTCTCATTTCCATCTTCCTTAGAATGGTGCTCGGCTTTTCTGAGTTCCTCCTTGTCCAGAGGAACTGTCCAAGAATGCCTCTATCACATACCCTATGGTCTCATTTCTATGCCTTCTACTCTCAACATCTCCAGAACAGCCCCTTTACTGTTACTTTTGCCCCTTCAGCAGAATGGAAGCACATACAGGAAGAACAGGTACTGTTCAGACTGGGACCAATGCAATGGAGAGGAGCTGTATGATACAATACTATACAACCCGGATCAAGTTGGGCAAGTTTGAGACAGCTGACATTCATATTTACTCATAAAACATTTACTGGACTTAGCATGCTCTCCCATGATTAGTTTGTTCCCCATGGGAAGCATATAAACCCATTTGATACTTTTGAAAGTGGAATGTGGAGAAAGAAGTTCAGTGTAATAAAAGTTAAGAGAAATACACAGCTTTAGACTGCTGCAGCTCCATGTTACAGCAGTTTATCGTCTCCTTGCAATCTTACAATTCCTATTGAGCCAAAAGGAAGAAGGAGCAATAAACAATCACTTGTCATTATTATTACCTTCTAACACCAAACTTTGGTGGCCCAGAGCCCACCAGCTTTCAATTATATTGAAATGGGAACCAAAAGGAAGATAGTCCATTTTGCATAATCAGAAGATTCCTCAGTATGTAGAAGCATATTAGTATGTAAAGTAAACATTAGAAAAGAAACAGCCCAACATCTTCAGTGATGTTAAGAACTTACAAAATGTTGCGTATGTCAGTTCAAAACAAAAGAGGGGAAGGAGAATTGTCCTGGTTGAAACCCTTACACTATCCTGAAGGAGGGATTCTGTTGGAGAGGGAGGGAAAGGCCAAAGTACCTCTTCACCCACATTTTACTGTCATGTTCGGGGCTTCTCATTCACCTTGCAAAGGCATCCTGTATGAGCAATGCAAAACACGCCAGAAAGCACACTAATTTACAACACACATGCATGCACACCCCTTGTAGCTCTTGCATGCTAGAGACCTGGTGGCTAACTGCTATGACTTTCAGTATTTCTGAAACAAAAATTTGTAATTTTACTCTCACAGAAAAAATCCCTGCCTGTCTGTTCTGCCCTCCCACTGCAAACACACCGTTAGACTACAGGCTGTGGAAAGGCTGTTCTGTCTGCTCTATACTGCAGTAATGGTCAGTGTGTGAGAGTAGGAGAAGCTAATGCAGCCACACACAAGCTGAAGACTGTAAATGTATGCGCCTCCAAATTCCCCTCAAAAGGAAAAACAGAAGCACTAATTTACCAGGAAAAAGTGTGTGGGGAAAGTTTGAGGACAGAACAAGAAGAGGAAAACTAAATATGAAATGGATGGATTCCACAAAGGGAACCACAGCCTTAACTTGGCAAAACCTGTGCAGGGCTGTGAAAGACACGGTGTTTTGGATGGTGTTCATTCATAGGGTTGACATACGTCGGGG